ACATGGTGTATACTATTTTTGAACCAAATGTATAGTCTCAAGGGAAGAGATTAAAGTTTTGTTCTATTTTCAAACAATAAGTTAGGAAATATTTTCTACATGGAATTTCTTTTGAAAACTATTCAAACGTGTGTATTAAAATGAGAGATGCTAGTCTTTTGGATCATAATTTAAGTCATAGTCGTAGCGCGTATAATTTATAAGTTTATCAATTTCAGAATAACTTTACGTGATATTTGAGATCTCGACATTACAGAGCCTTCAAATAAAATATCTTTGAGTCATATGTCTAAAATTCAGTCATTTTGCTTGAGTTTCAATTGCATGTTAAGTTTTATATAATTATCGTAGTCTATATATTTTGAAATAAGGTAATTCGTAAACTTTTTTTCAAAAACATACAAGTCAAATAACCTAGGGTGTATATCCAAACTTAAGCAAATTGGATGGATTTTGTTTTGTATGGATCAATTTTGTCACCCCTAATTATAAACTTCTAATATTCATTCTCTTACCTCTCAAATCCCTAGTGACATTGGAGAATTTTGAAGAGACCATAGAAAAATCTATCAAAAAATAATAAAGAAAGATTATAATTATAAGTTTAAAAAGTAATTTTAAATATTAAAGTCAAAACGACAGGATAACACTCACGTGTTACATAAATTGGGATCAAAAGAATAACAAATGTACTTTTAGGTTAAAAAAAAAATCTCAAAGTAAACTTTCATAGCACGAATTTAAATTTAATCGAAATACCAGTTACCTAAAGAAACTAGGATATTTCCATTTCCATGAAGTGTAACTAATTTGTCCAATTTTTCCAATTCCAATTATTGTTAAGTTGTAACTAAAATTTGAAATAGAAAAGACTAAAGAATGACACAAAATGCAGAAAAAAGAATAATAATGGATTGATGAAATGAAAAAAAAGGACAATGGCATGTGGGCAGTTGTGTAATTTGCTGGCAATTGAATTGATGTTTGGATTTAACAGGTTATAATGATGATAATGAAGAAATAAAAATAAATACAGTAAATATTTCAGAGAATATATAAAGTTGCAGAAATAAAATAATTATTAATAATAAGATAAAAACTGGTACAAGCAGTACCATAAATATTTAAATAATTTTTATTTTCTAGCTAGGAGTTTTTAATTATTTGAGTGAAAAAAAGGAAAGAAACATTAATAAAAACATAGGTAAAATATCAACAGATAAAGTACATTACATACTTCAGAAACATTGAACAATCCATAAACTTTATCACTTCTTGATTTTTTATTTTATTTTAACTTCTCGTTTGATGTTTGAAATCTATATTAAAGTTTCGATGAAATTTAAATTACATATTGTAGAGTTCATTATAAGTTATTTTTCTTGGAAAAATGTCTACTATATCTTTCAACATTGTCATTTAGAATTAATATACTTCTCGTTATGAAAATGACACATATATACTCCTATACAAGGGTCATGTCACCTCCAAATGACAAAGTTAAAAAATATATATATATATTGAAAATTCGATTCAAGATCTCTAATTAAAGATGGAACAGTTCACTACCGTAGGGACGGAGACAACATATAATAAGGGGTTCATTCGAACCCTTTCAATGAAAAATATTATTATTTATATATGATTTAAATTATTTTTTAGATATATATAATAAATATCGAATTCCCTTCCAGTAGTTCTTTTAGTTCTCAAATTTTGAATCTCTTATTAAAATTTTTAATTTCGCCACTGTACTACTACACCATAAAACTCATGTTAGCATTTCTTCTTGATCTTTCTAGCTTTGTTACATTTAGCCTGCAAAATTATAATTTTTTCACTATTAATTTCATGTCTGTCTTCTGTCAACAAAAAATGTTGTGATAATTGGAATAGAGAGAATATGATCAGTAAAATAATTGAAAGAAAAATCAGACCTACAAACACGTAACGTGTTACATGTATTTATTTGTACATATTTATAACTGAAGAATATATAAATATCTGATAAAATTAATTCTCATGATACATTTATTTATTATGTCTACAAAATGTTATGATAGTATTAGTAATTCTGATAACAAAATGATAACTAGCTACAATTACGCGTTGAAAATTCATGAATATTGTAATATAAAATAATACTAACGATGTATATAATTTAAATTGTTATAAAATGACTCACACAAAGCCAAATTATTTCCAATTTTTTCCCCTTCCAAATGGTGGGGAAGGGAGGAAGATATGATTTGAACTTCAAAATATTGTGGCCAACAGAGATATGTGGGTTCAGAATTCTGATATAATTTTATAATTTGATATTTATACATTTATAGCTCGAATAATTGTGTTTGACAGGAATATATGTGTACTTTATTAAAGTTCTTTCTTCATCATAGGGATACAGCATGTGACGTTATTTCGAGCGATCGAAAATAATTTTTCTAGTCTATAAATATAAAAATAAGTTTATGTATAGTATATAAATAACATTTGAGAAATACTAATTATGTTGTATATATAAATAGATAATCTCAATTAAATCAATCTTAAAATTTAATTTACGATGAAAAAATTATTTAAGACTATATAAGAATAATTCATCTCATCGAGCCCACCCCGCACGTCCAAACAAGCTCATGAGTGTTGTAAGTTCAATTCGAATATTATGTTAAATAAAATTTATTTAATTTAACATTATAAGTTAGCTTGATAAAAAAGATTTATTTTCAAAGTTGATCAAATTCATCTCAGATATAAAAATCTTTTTTTTTTCAACATTTAACATGTTTAGACACTGTTTGATATTAATATGTGAACAATTTAATACAAAACTTAAAAGAGTAATAATGTATATTTTTTTTAAAAAAAATAGCTATCATTTCTCCTTAAATTATCAAGAACTTCAATGATTGAATATTTCCATTTATTTAATTCTTTTTCAATATCATTCTAAATATAGTGTAAAATTCCCTACTGCACAAGCTTTTGGAGGTATTTGTCTAGTGGCAAGGTGCATTATTTGGTGTGATCAATTATATGAAATGACACATAAAAGAATTACTTTTAGTTTAGGTACTATTCGATATCGATATTTATTAATTTAATTAATATAGATTTAGTATGCGTAAAATATGTTATATAGTAAAAACTAGTAGATTTTTAACTGAAGTCTTTTTATTTCTAGATCTCGAATTTGAAATTTCAATTAAATATTATTGTTGAAACACCTACTAGAAGTACTATACCAAACTAAAGAAAGTGTGTATTTTAATAATAATCAAATAAGAAAATGTATACTTAACACATGTAATATTGATATTAATTAATAATTATAAGATTAATTTATTTTTATTTATCTATCTACATATCTATATATATATATATATATATATATAGCTAGGAGAATAAAAAGAGTAGGCTAGAGACACATAGAGACAAGAATGAACATAACAAAAAGGCTACTAAGAGTAATTGTCAAACTAGGATTAATATACTAATTGGCAATAATCAAGAAAGAGCTAATTAGGGTCTATTATAAAATCTTTAGGTTTTTTCTGTACATCAAAAGTGGTTTGTCTTAATTAGGTGCTTAATCTTTTTGCTAAATGAGGATTAATGTATTATACTATATCTAAGATTGTTATCAACAGAGTTGGTTAATTTAATCATTAATCGGCATACGAAAAAATTTATTTTCGTATGATTAGGAGATCACGAGTTGAAGTCATAAAGATAACCTTTTACATAAATACAATGTTTGTAAGATTATTAAAAAAACGTTTACAAGGTTAAATTTGGCATTTCTATGAATTTTATGCGTATCATGAGTTTTGTGAATCGGGTCTTTTATTCAATAGACCATGAATAATTTGACGATGAAAATGAAGATTTTCAATTACGCACATCATAACTTTCTATGATGCATCATTTAATTATTTTTTTTCAAAACTTTATATAGTACGTTCAAGATTTGATTTGACATAACATCATAATTAGATTTATCGTGTCTTCTGTAACACCTACAAACTCTTTTTGTGTGTTTGGAAATTGGAGGGGTGAGGGTTGTGAATAGATATCCTTTTTGGCCCTTGAATGCCACTTTTCGAAATAAATGGTAAAACTCTAGATAAAAAATATCCATATCCAGACGTAAAAGTAACGTTGATAGAAAGAATCTTACATCAAATCGATTTGAAGAGTTTTAAATAAAATTTGAACACTTCTCCTCTCTAGCTATACGTGCTCACTTTTAGTGTTTGTGATACATGATAACATAGTCATGTCCTATTATTATTCGACCTAAATTTCCCATTAACGTATATAAAAGCTTAATTATTATATTTAGTTTGTTGAATGTACAAAAAAAAAAAACTAAGAGAAGTGATAAAATGTTTGACCAAAACTTTCACATACATAAATAAATACAAATTCCCAACATCAAATGTTATAAGTGGTTGATTAATTGTAAGTGCAAGACAGCTTATTTTTCATTTTCTTGCCTAAGGTCCATATAAATCATCAAGTTCTTTTATAACGATATTATCTGTTCAGATATCGTTTGATTACTATAATGACAAAATGTTATAATAGATAACATAAAATGAAAAAAAAAACAATTTCAAAAAATATTTAGCTGTTATAATAAAATATAGTTATAAATAATGATTATTATAATAAGAAATTAACAATATATTTGAGTTTAATGCATATATTTTCAATATTAAAATCATAAAAAGCAAAGCATATGCAAAGGAAGTGATGGGCTTTTCCATAATGCATAAAGATTGGAAGGAGTGTACAATACAAAGGCTAGCTAAGCAAGGCAACTAAGAAAAAATAATTTAAAAAATAAAATGAAGAATATGAATAACTTTGTTCCATATAATAATAATATATGCTATAATAACAATAAAATATATTATCAATATTTCAATTGATTAACCATCATATATTTGTCTTGTCATTGCCTTTTCCCTTGCTTATATAAAGCCCATTTCTTCTACTAATAAATCTCATGAGCTTACACCTAGCTAGTACTCCACATTTCCTCTTTAACCCTTTATATATATTTCTCTCATATCATCTACATTAAAAAAAAATTAATATGCAAATGTCTTGTGTCATAGGGTTAAGGTTTATAGTATTAAATGGATCGACGTATATCTGATTGAGGCATAATAATTATTGTTTTCTGATTAGATATATATATGAAGAGAGCTTTCTTTAGTCCACACATGGGGAACGATAGGGTTCAATTTGCTGCCGACTCATTCATCCAAATGTTGAGGTCTTGATAATCGAGTGCCACCTCAGCAACTGAGTGAATGAAGCGGGAGTACAAGTTGAGTCTTGAGCTTCCTGTACTTGGACTGAAGGGAGCTCCCTCTTACCTTTTTTTTAATATCGATTATTTTGTTGAGTATCTAATATTTATTCGACAAATTAAACATATATATAGTAGTGGTCATGCATGGTTTAACTTGCTAGGGTTAAATATACACTTGAAATTTCTTGGTTAATTAATTAAGGTTTACACACTAATTAATATTTTTTATCTTTTTCTCTTCTTCTTTTTTTGCAGCTTATGTTTGCCTGATCCTAATTTAACCTTGAGCTGTTTTTATGTGAAGCTTTAGCTATTGATGCCGGGCCGGAGCTACCATATTAGGTACGAATTCAGATAAATTCAATAATTTTTTGTTTTAAACTTTACACTTGTATTATAAATATTTAATTGTTAATTCAGTGATCAAGACGGAGTATGAATTCAGTTTCAATTTCAATAACTCCTAAATTTCAAATTTCAATTCTGACTTTGAAGATATCAAGGATGTTTAGGGTTTTTGTGAAGCTCTCCAATGGATTTTTTTTTTTAATTATATTGTTAGAGATATATACTACCTCACGATAAGATGACAAAGTTCAAATACAATTTTATTTTATTTTTGATTCTTAGTTTAATAAAGTGTTTCTATATTCTTAATTAAAGATCTCGAGTTTAAATTTTATGAGTATGAAAGTACTTTTATTAGAACGGTTTATCCTATTATGTAATATATGGTACGGATGGAAAACCAAAAAAAAAAAGTTGTACTAATTTTCTTCTTATTGTCCGACCTTTTTTCTTGTCTTTTTTGTATACTTCCCTTTATATTGTTATATATATATATGTGATGATCGATTATTCTTTTCCAATATATACATTTGTGGAATGAGAACGTGTTGTAAATTTTATTTTATTTCTATATATTATTTTTATATTTCATCAATATTTATCAACTTTTATCAATGCATATAATTGATATTGAGAATCTTGACCTACTAGTCATATTTCAAATCAAATAGGACTTCAATAGATCAGATAAAATATAAGTATTTTGATTGAAATACTAACATTTACTAACCATTATTTTTTATTAAAATAGAAACATTCAAAAATTACCACATATTATTTCTCCTTTCCTTTAAAAGGAATCTTTGAAAGATTGATATTTTTAATTTTATATATTTGTTTTAACATGATGTAAATTAATTTCTTGAACATTTTGTTATTTAGGATATGCATCATAAAACTCAAATTAAACAATGGTTAGGGCTTTGGTCCTACTTTCCCATAATTCAACAAAAAATAATCTAAAAGTTTATAATTGAAGGATATGCACCATCTTTAACCAACACAAAGGGTGTAAATGATATGGAGGGAAATATTTCAACAAAAAATACTCATAAAAAAAGAAAAAGAAATTTATTTACATTTGATATCTAAGTAAGAAATACTATTCTAGAATATTTGTTTATAATCTTAACAAATACCATGGCCGATACAAATGCTCGGGTGAAGATTCGATAATCATGAAAGGGTATGTGAGTAGTGACAGATTCAGGATTTCCATTAAAGGGATTTGGAAAAAAGAAAATAGTGATTTGAACCTATAAATCACTAAGCCAACCTTTAATCTTATATTCAGGAAGTTCAAAATCAATATATAAACATAAAAATTCTGAAGAATACCTTAAATATATAATGTAATTTTTTGTCGAGGGGGTTCGCTATAATCTAGGTCCGCCTCTTTACGTGAAAAAGACATAATTAACGTGAAATCTACTTATGAAACTTGTTTTTTCTACTTTCATTAAGAAAATAATTTTCTTCTTCTTTTAAGGAGTTTAATTTTAAAAAAAAATATTATCCAATTTTTTTAATCATTCGAATATAAAAAAAAAAAGATTATGCAAAATATTTTCCTCATATCGAATGCACCTAAAGTCTATTCAAAGGTATTGTCTCTATACTAGTTAATTTATAATTTTCCTTGTTGGAATAATTTTTTTCTCAATTCTTCTTCCATAAAAATATATATAATTTTTAACTAATTAGAATTCACATAATTTAAATTATGAAAAAGCAAATGTATCACATAAAAAAAATTCCTTTGATATGACATAGAATTAAATTTTGCTAGTTGGTTTCAAGACATGGAAGATTTTAAAGTTTGATTTACCTTTATATAATGGGGCCTATGTATTTTAACCCATTAAGAGAAAAAAAAATTAGTGTGAATTGAACTTGATTAGTTCATTAATCACTACTGTCTTTTCAAGCATCATCTCATAAAAAATCTTGAATATTACATAGACAAGTGTTGCAAATCTATATTGAAATGGGTAATTAATTATAAACAAATTCAAGAAAATAAAAAAGTCAAAACTTGTAGTGGGTCTCAACTACCTAGCACCAAAAAATGAATTTACAAATGGTGTTTTCTAGTCTCTTATAATCACATAATAATTAATGTTAATGATCTTTTAGTAGGTGGTGTATGGGATAAAAATATAAAAAAAAATGTGAGATTATTTTATTCAGTGTTTGATTCTGAGCATTAATTAGTCTCAAGATATATTTTGTATTAAAATGATAAGATTAACTATGTATACCATATAGAAAGTGATTTAACTTATTTCCAGGGATATCTCGATTCATAAGATATCCTTATCTATCTCTTCATGATTTAACCAAATAATCTTTTATAGTATTTGAAACACATCCATGTGCTAAGTAGTAGTCATGAGTTTGATTACCAAGAGCAACATAATGCATGAGACAGATTTTTGGAAGCATAATTGTTGGGTAACACCAACATTGTGCCGATGACAAGGTTTATGAGGCGGTCAGGATGGTTTAGGTCAGAGTCATGATTGAACGTGACGTTTATTTGAAACTTGAAGGACTTTATTATTAGCTATAATTTTTGGCATAATCAATACGATTGGCTACAATATCTCCTTTAAAGTTTGGAGTTGGTTGTTAAATTGTTATTGGGAATTTTGGTCCACTAATGATGCATAATTACAAAATAAATTCAAAGATCATGCAACATAAAAATGCCCCTTTCAATAAGATATCATTTTGATTTGTCTTCAACAAAGTTTTTTTAAAAAAAATCATATTTAGTCAACTCCACTAGCTAAGTTAAGATTTCATAATCTTTGTCCAACTAAAGCAAGAGCATAATAGAACAATTAATTAATTAATACATATCGCAAGCAAAAACATGAGAGGGCAATAATATTAAATTTATCCATCGGATTATAATCGTCAATAATAATAATAACGATAAAAATGATCTGATATGCCTCTATATTATGCGCAATAGATTAAAATCATCATCACTTTAGAAAAATTAACCTCTAATACTAACGAAGGGACACGTGCCCAGTTAAAAATTAAATTCGTTTAACACATAAGAAGTTGTTTGATTGTTCGATACTTCCATGTTTTGTTGGAGTGAGGGCCAAAGTATATATTGATAAATGAAACACACTAATAGAGAAGCCCATTTTATAAAAAATAAAAAACAAAAATACTTGAAACAAGAAGTTGAGCTATAAAGTATTTTATAAACTATAAAAGTGAAAATTTTACAATATAGAGGACTGATTTATGCAAAAATATACCTATTTTTAGGCCCATTTCTATTTTTGAAATTGTTCCCTTGAATAACATTAAATCGGATTTAATATCTGCTCATATTATAATTTTAAATACCATCGAACAAACTAACAAAAAATTGACCATATTCTAACATTTTTCTCATAAATTTTTTAATTTGCTCAAAAGGAATCTTTCGACAACGATGATCTAAAAATTCCATTATGTGAAAGATTCTTAAATTAAGGGAGCCTTGTCTATGAAAGATGTTCGATTATTTCATTCCGAACCTACTACCTCCGAATAGACACATGATGGTGTCTGAACTAGCTTACATGCACCTCAACTATTCCACGGGGACATGCTACCCCATACAAGTACCAAAATTTGTTTGATTATGAAGTTGTACTTAATATACCCTATGCACAGTTGTTGCAGACTTATATGAAAAGAACAACACCAATTATATATGGATCCCCCCCCAACCCCCAACAAAACAAAAAAAAACACCAGAACAAGAATCCTATGTAATTTAGAAGCAAATTTCTCATGTAACTGTCTCTGCATGAATGTACTGAAAGCTGAATGAAACATTTAAGGTATAAAAATCATCCAAAGATCAAAGGCCCATTGTAGTACCCTTCTGAGAAATGTACATGATTTGCAGCTAATGTAACATTTATCATCTAGATCTGCAGAGGCACTCGAACATAGCACTGACGGATCTTCTGTTGTGTTTGAACTTGCCATCTCGTCCATCATTATAAAAGGATCCACTTGATTCGTCTCGTTTTATACAATGACTCTTTATGTAAAGCAAGAAGAGAGGTCCAAATATGTGTGTATCATCTCGTGGTTATTAGGAACGAATTAAAATATTCACATAGAACGGATCCTTGTGGCATGCAATAAAATGTTTCAAGTTACCAAAACATTTGATTGTATAACTAGAGGGAGATCTTGGTACCTTTCAATCGTGATCGTGAACGTTGACCTCTTGTTCTTGCTTCCATTAACTTGGCCTTCAAAGTGTTCTCCTTTAAATCTGGTGGCATTTTAGTTGATGACTCGGAGATGTTCTCGTGTGAGGGAAGCTTCTCCGTCCATTGTCTGACCGGACTAGCTTGAGCCCTTCTAACAGAAGTAGTATAAGAAGTTAACTCATAATCATTTTCAGGTGGCATGTTTCCACTTTCTGACAATAAATAATGGCTTCTAATTAACTCATCAATCATATAGTTTGAGTTAACTCCAGGAGTTCCATCAGCTTTGTTCTTTTTCCCAGAACTACCTTCTTCTGTTACTTCACATATCTCAAACTTGTTCGAAGTGCTTATTTCAACTTGGTTCTTTTCACTAGTTTCTCCCAGATCATTCTCGTCAAACTTGTTCCTGCTTTCACTTGGTAATGCAGCCCGGTTCATCTGTTCTTCAAACTTCACCTGTAAATTGGACATGCTGCTACTCTTTGATCTTTCGTGTAATGCAGGTTTCCTCAATATGTAATTAGGCCTTATGGTTTCTTCAGCACTCTTTTCCTTGGCACCATTCTCGCGGGATCTCAAGTCAGAAGCACTTGGTTTTTGCAACTCAAAACAATGCGAGTCACTGCTAACAGAATCTTCTTCATCGCCCTCGTCTTGAGGAGCGCTGCCAGCAACATTAAGAGGGATAGAATCCAGAGAACCTCGTCGGTAGGTGGTATCCCCTAAGTTAACATTATTCCTAATACCGGTTTGTTTAGTTTTAAGGAATGTCTCTATTTCAGACCTGAATTTTTCTATGATTGAGCTTTTTTCACCTTGACCATATTGAGGTTCCATTTTTGTCTGCATCCGTTCATCAATCCATGCTTCGGAAATGTGCAGAATTAGTTTATCACTATTAGTCCTTTCAGTCCAATCTTTGTCAGATTTATGTCTTACAGAATGCAACTCCTGTTCATAATGTCTTATTCCCCAAGCGAACTCATCACAAAGGTCTTCAAGAAGTTGTCGAGACTTCTTCTCTTTGTCCCACTCTTTTGAAGCATTGGCAAGAGATGTTTTCACCTCATACAGCTCCCTGGCCAGTCTCCTATGCAAGCTCTCTGAGCGTTTTCTTAGCTTTCTTTCATCTTCCAGTTCATCTCTGACAGTCTGAACCGCAGCACTAATTCGATCTTGCTCCTTACTTTTCCTTACCACTTTATCCTCTGTTATCTGCTTCATCAATTCATCTATTTCATGTCTATCTACTTGCTGATCTCGCACCAGCTCCTTGATCCGCACACGAGCATGATCTAGTTCTTTCTTTAATGCTTTCACGAGTGACATGTTTGACGCATGCTGCTCTTCCAGGCCCCAGATTCTATTCAGCACTTTTAGAAGTTCTGTAGATGTTTTGAGGCTGTAGCCTGTCTCTCCAATCCTCCCTTTCAAGTCTATAGAACTAGACGGTGTAACTGCAGCGTTGTAAGGTGCAATCTGAAAAAAATTTATCACAAGAGTTACTGCAAAGATGTTTTTGCTCATTTTAGCAAAAACCTTTTAACATATCCACCCTCCTGAAAATTGATCCTCACTAACTAGTTTACAGACATTTGATTATATTGGTCTAACAATAACTAGGACGAAAACAGATGTAGAAGATGAACTAAAGAGAAGATCATGCATGCGGCATGTTGGTTTAGAGATGGCTGATAACTGTTCCTTAGTTACCAAGAGGGGGATAGTATATATGGAGCCAATGTTTTAAGTTAATAGTCACTTTCTGGAGCTAATGCTCTCCAGATGTTTGCGGTGAGAGAATCTTCGAAGATTAGAATGTTCTATTGCTGCAGGGAGTCAAAACTAAAGTCTTTGGGAATTCCAGATGCTAAAGATTATAAAATCTTATTACCTAAAATTATTTTGAGATTTTCATCAGCTCTAAATTCCTTAATGAAATGTTGTGTTGAAATGACCTAGAGAGGAGTTTAATTTAAGTATCACTCGTAAAGATATCGTCAATGCAGATTAGCACTCTCTTTACCTCCATTGAACTGCCATAGCTTGCAGGAGATACAGGTTGAATCGCATGATTGGTCCTTTCAATCAATCGATGATGTTGCATCAACGATGCAGCAACATGCCGCCTCAAACTGCCAGCACTTCCTGGCTGGCAAAACAAATCACAAATGTTAACGGAGAATGCTGAGCAATTTCAAAATTTTGCAAGCTCAAATTGAACTTTAGTTTAGAAGAGAGACGAGAACTGAAAAATATAACAAATGTGCATTAATGCCAAACTTACGGTAGCCTATATGAATACAAAAGAGACATCATCTCAGCCTAAGTCCAAAGGCAGCACAGCACTAAAAAGCATGAAAACAAAGTCAGGCAACGCGATCGCTAAACAAGTTTTCTAGTCCTTGACGGAGACTGAGTTAGAGTCATAACCATATGTTGGTCCGGAAAAGCTTATTGCACTGAAATTCTCTGAGGAATCAAGGATACAATTTCTAGTGCAGAATAGGCATAGAGTCTATCTACTTGGACGCGACTGTTGATCAACTTATTTCGGGGTTAACCTGATGATCAACTCTAGGCTGCCAAATCAAAAGGCTAGCGGTATCTCTTGCACGCTAAGATACTTGAATCATAGAACCAATTTCGGGAGTATTTGAGTAAATAAAGAATCTTAGACAGACGATGGATGGTAAAGGTTGGAGTCTTGCGGATCAAATTGAGATCAAATAAGAACAAAAACAGCAGAGACAGAAAAACAGAAGGGGACAGCAAAACCAGTAACTCCAACAACATCAGTCACCTCAAAGGTCCCAACTTCAGCACAAAAATCAAGAAAATTTAATCAAAAGGATCCATTAAATGACACAAGATTAGCTAAACAACCATGTTCTGCCACTCTTAAACAAAAGGGTAATTGCCATTCAAGAGCTTATTAAGAAAAAGGAGATAATTCTGATGAACTAGCAACTTCAACATATCAGTCAGCTCCAAAGTAACCTCAAAGATTCCAACTTTACAACAAACAATCAAGAAAATCAAATCAAAAGCAACCTCCAAATGACACAAGATTAGCTAAACTACCAAATTCTTCCACTATTAAACAAAAAGGTAATTGACATATAGCTCCTTTTTTTCATTTCAAAAGAAAAAAAAAAGTAGAGAATTCAGATCAACCAGCAACTCCAACAACACCAGTCAGCTCAAAAGTAACCTCAAAGATTCCAACTTTACCACAAACAACAAGAAAATTTAATCACCAAATAACACAAAATTAGCAAAACTACCACGCTCTGCCACTACTAAACAAAAGGGTAATTGCCACTCACAGAGCCATTAAAAATGAAGAGACTTCTGATGAACTAGCAACTCCAACTACATCAGGTTATCCAAATCACCTCAAAGATTCAAACTTTACCGCAAACAATCAAGAAAATCTAGTCAAAAAGATTACTACCAAGTCCTGTCACTACTAAGCAAAAGGGTTTTGGCCAGAGAAATTACCAGGTCAGGTGAACTTGGTGAAGGATCAGGATGTTCAAGAACCCTACTATCCTCATAAATATGGTGTCTATGGTGGCGATAAGGCTGAAGACGGCGGATTCTTGAAGATGTAACATTATTACCATTAACATGATGCATTTCAGAAAAAGGTATCTTGTATTGATGAAGCTCCCAAAGAATTGCAGCAAGTTTTCTAGCAGAAACACAAGAATTCTGAAAAGGGTTTTCTTTAATACTATCACTTTCTTGAACAACAACAACACTTTGTTGATGATTATGTTGGAGCCTCAAAAAGGGTATTACTGGTGTAGTGTGTCCCCCTCTTTTCCCTATTTTCTTCAACTTTTCCCCTAAATTTTCTTGCTTTTCTGCTGTCCCTTGTCCACTTTTCATCTCTCTCTCTCACATCTACACAATTTTCTATTGTTTTCTTTTTCTTTTTCCCCCCCTTCAACAACCCATTATCATTTGAGTTTAACTCACTGTAGTAACTGTTACAGCTACTGCTACTCTGTATTGTACATCAGTAGAGTCTTTGAATTCAGATTCTTTGTGTTGTTTAAGTTCAACATCCATGGCCAAAAACCAAAAATAAGACTTTAATAGGGGAAGAAACTGTATGGTTTTTTTGTTTTTTTCTATAGGTGTTGTGGTGTATGCATTGAGCATAGATTAAATCTAAATGAACAACTCTATGTTGTGTAGACACATAGGCCTTTAATTTTGTTGACTAATATGTTAAATAGTACAACTCATTTTACCTCCTTTTGGATAAACCAATTTTTTATAATAAAGTATTTTATTGATATGGATAGAGTAATAATATTAGAAAGTGAAAGTTGATGTCAAAGACGCGGTGCAGTTAATAAAATTATTTCTTTTTTAATTAAAATTTTTTGAGTTTGAAAAAATTTCTATTTTAGTAAGAAGGTGTATCTCTGAATAGTGTTTTATTTGGTTGAATTTTGATTAATTAAACTTTAATATGTGTATTGAATATCGAGCGGGAAAAAGAAAGTGAAAGTTGACATTGCTAGCTACTCTTGCTTTTATTTACACTTTCTTTAACCTAGCATGCATGTTAACCTTTTTGGGTTACTATTATCTCAATGTTATTCGAAAAGGTAACTAAAAGAAAATAATGATTTTGAAATATATATATATATATATACGTGTGTAAAAAGTAAAAATATTTATATTTATATATTTTCAATGGTATATTATCTAAAGAACAAGAAAAAGGTGATAATGGTGTGTTAAAAAAAGAAGAAAGTTGACGACTGAAACATGTTTCAATTCTTGGCTTTTTTTTTCATCAACACTTATTCTAAACATGTCAGTCATGATTAACAATTAAAATGCATGAAAAAATTAAAGGAAGTTAACTTTAACGTGGACTTTCGAATTTTGACTTGTGAATAACTCAATATATAGTTACCCCCATCGTCTTTTTTATTTGTGATGTTGCTTTTTGAAAGTCAATTATTTTTAAAGTTAAATTAGATTAGATTAATTTGATAATTTAAATGAAAAAATTAGATTATTAAAGTTATATGAAAAGTATTATATGTTGTAACTTTTTGCATATCAATATAATGAAAAAAATTATTATAAAATGTTAATTAAAATTTTTATAATTTGATTTTAAAAATAAAAAATATGAAAATTAATATTAAATAGTCAAAAAAAATGAAAGAAACGGGCTAAGGCGTAGAATTTATTATTATATTATCTCAAAAGACAAAAGTAACAGGATTAGTAATATTATTATTAACTCAAAAGATAGGATTATAGACAAATTCTCTCGTAATATCTTTTACTAATTATTTCAATTATTATATCCAAACTATTTTACCAATGATACCCAAAATATTTATTTTAATCGTAATACTTATTCCTTAAATAATTACTCTAATATACAAACCTTACAACACAGTAATTAGTAGTATGTGACAAAATAACTGATTAAATTATGATTAGCATAAATTATATTGAAAGAGTTTTTGCACATTACAAGTATATATATTCTCGTCTTTTAACACAAACAAGAAAATCAAATCTCGATGAAATTCCTAAAACCAATATAAAAACACATTATATTCTAAACTGGTAGTATTTTTTATATAATTATAAACTTAAATTATTTAAATTGATTAATTTTTTTTATAAAGATAAATCAAATTGATTATATCTTAAAATAAAACATAACAAGTAAAAACGAATAAAATATAACACCACACTCACTTATGTTTTATTATACCAAGAAATATGTAGGAAGCATGTCAAACAAAAGGCACAGAAAATTATACATGTGTCTTCTTCTCATTGAAATCTCTTTAATATAAAAGAAAAAAAAACTAAAGCATTGATTAAAGAAGAGTATTTAATTATTAATTAACTATATGTAATAATTAGCATTGATTAAGGTTTGAATATGGTGAATGTCCTGCTATCTCAACCAAGTCAAGGTTGTAGGGTATGAAGGCATAATTGTTCATAAATATTCTTGTTGTTAATGAGTTATCTGATTAAAAGATGTCCTCAAACTATCGAAATAGTTAAAATATAACCTTTCTTGAAAATTGTAAGAAAAAATGAAGCTATATATATAATGTATGAGGACTCCTAATAAGAGGTATTTTGTAAAAAAATTGTGTGAATTTTCAAATCGAAGTTTGTGTCACCATGTTAAGATCCTAATTATATATCTTTGAGTTTATTTAGCATGTGCAAATTGATATTATAGTTGATGATCAGCAATAGGATTATTGAAATAATAAAGAATTGATTCTTTAAGGCATGAAAAGAAAAATTATTGGAAAATTTGTATAAAATAGCAAATTATTGATTTAAACTAAATATTATAGTTATAGGTTTTGTTTTTTTTTATAATTCTCAACAAACATTTTATTTTATTTTTTTGTCATCCTATTTGTATATGGAAATATACAAATGTAGGACCCAATTGTATACCAAAATATACAAATCATGACCCATTTGTATACAGAAATATACAAATAGATCAAAATATACAAATGCAAGATCCATTTGTATATCAAAATATACAAATGCAGCACTCATTTGTATATCGAAATATACAAATAAACTGAAATATATAAAAGACCCATTTGTATACCGAAATATAAGAATGCACGATTCATTTGTATTATTTTTTTATGTATATTTATACCGAAATATACAAATTAATAATCATAGAAAATATAAAATTTTCTATAAAACTCAATCATATAAACGAAAACTATAACTATAATATACAAATATTATTTTTATGTTTGTTAAACCTAAAATTTACTCGCCATTATTTAGAGAAAGAACAAAGAAAGTCCTTATTTGCTAGGCCCAAGCACGTGGACTGGGCTTACTAAAGATGGGTACTGATGGGCTTTAGACCTGTTAGATATTTCATAAAGAAACAATTTTATAAGCTATAAAAGTAGAAATGATATTAGGGGAAATGAAAAAGTATATTATGTGATATAGCTATAGTTTTAATTATTTTTAATTAGTATCTATAGTTTCCTGAAATTTTGATATTTGATTTATCAGTTGTATAAATCTCGAATTTATATAATTTAGTTTATAATGGTATAAATTTAGAATTTGTATAATTCGGTTTCTAATTGTATCAATATATATGATTTATGAAAAATTCATAATAATAAATTATCTTATTTGTATATTGTCAAGTGAAATATACAAACGGAGTTCTAGAAAAATTGTAAAAGTATGAATATATAATTTGTATATACTTATCTTGTTTGTATATTTGCAAGTGAATTATACAAACTTCAACCTCCATTTGTATATACTTATCTTGTTTGTATATTTGCAAGTGAATTATACAAACTTCAACCTCCATTTGTATATACTTACTATGCATGTACATTTGTAAGTGAAATATACAAATGACGAAAGCATATACAAACCGTAAATTCTATAGCAAAACAGAACCATAACTATGAAGAGCAATTATTGAAACCATAATTATACAACCTTATTATATCTATTATTTTTGCTATTTCTAAAATTTTCTCTTTTAACTAAGCCCATTTGATGTTTAGGGAACTTTTAGGCTGATTATGTAAATTTCATTTTTACGTTATTATTTAAAATTTGTTCCAATTTTGAAGTCGTGCAAATATAGCACTTGAAAAATATTTTCTTATACAATGTTAGACTTTATTTTATTTTTCATTTTTTTGGGTGGGGGGCAATTGTTTGTGTTGCGACATTTTTGAAACACCATTACTATATTCTCTCATTAATAGAAATAATAAAGGGTAATTAATTATAAAAAAAGATGGTTAAAAAAGAAAGATTGTATTTGTTTTTATATCTTGAAATGGAAAAAATATCATGAAAATAGGGGTAAATAAGATATACAATTAAAATATCGAAGATAAAACGAAATTTCACACTAAAATTATGAAGACATAGGAATTTTATATTTATTGAAGGGGAGTCTATTTATGGTAATTGGAATGGTTGTTAAGATTTTTGTATTTTATTTTCAGTACCTACATTGAAGCTCGACTGAATTTGAATTCACGTCGGAAAGTCCACATTGAGAGTAAAACGCTCCCTAACAAAGGAAATTTCGTATCAAGGAGACTTGAATTCGAAATCTCTTGATTAAGGATGAATGAATACTTATCACTCTATCACAATCCTTGTCCCTTGTTAGTGTATAGTTATTAAGATTACTCGTGATAGCTACACTTTGGAATTATTATATTTGTTACAAAGATATTAATATAGTACTATAAATGTTTATTACAAACAAAAGTTGTTCTCATCGTTAATCGATGAAAAAATTATGTTATAAAGTATAATTTTCTCACCGAACCCAAATCACGGAAATAATGCATGGAGGAAAAATAACTTTTCACTAAAATTACTTTTTCTTTTTTTCATTGATTCACTTAAAATATTTAGAAAAATAACTTATTGAATATTTTTTAATATAAAATAATAATTTTTTTAGTAGTAAATTAAATATATACCGAAAAGGTGTATAATTATTAACAAAAATTGGACGTTTTATTTTTTGAATAGTTAGTTTTAAATTTTTGTTCTATGAAAATCAAATTTATGTCAATTAAAGTATTTTGATACTTGAGTGTGACTTATGAAATATAACGATACGAGAACATAAAGTTATATCTGTATTTAGTAATTTTTAAAATCTATTATAAGGACAAAAATTAAAATACTATCATAAAATATAAGCAAAAATGCACATGGCCCTTAGTATCACTCGTAAAATATAACGATATAAATTAAAAATATAAATTTATATTTAATAAAAGAAATTATTTTATTACGAGAACATAAATTTAAAAGCTAATATAAAATGCACGTATCCTCTGGTATGACTTGTAAAATGTAGCGATATATATGAGAAATATAAATTTATATTTAGTAAAAGAAATCATTTATTACGAGAAGATAAATTAAAAAACTTAACATAAAATATGAGCAAAAATGCACATGGCCCCTGGTATGACTAGTAAAATATAACGATATGAAAAAATAAATTTATAATATAATAAAAAAATACTAAAAAACTAAAATAAAATATGAGCAAAAATACACATGGCCCCTAAAATTATTAGGTGATTGCTTTCACATTTTGACTTGGACCTGTAACTTACTACAACAAAAAAAA